TAAATCTATATTGAAGGTCGTCTCACAGACGAGACCGGTTAATGATGGGGCACTGAAATTATGAAGGTACATGATGTCCAATATTGAATAATATTTTAGCCAACTCTCTTTGGTGTGTTGGATGGGATATGTATTTGATTTTAAGAATGCCTCTTTAGATAACTATCTTTCTTCTTCGGATACTCACACTTTATGAACAACTGCCTTATTCTTCTTCTTTTGGTGCCTATTCGTTTCGATAATTGGCGATCATTCTGGTTATAATTATTTTATTAAGTGATGCTTTAAATAGATTAGTTGTTGTAGTGGAGAAACATTTCAATAGGTTTTTTAACCATGATACTCTTCTTCTTCCAATTCCTCGTTTTCCGAATACTTTGCCTTGATGGATTATTTTCAGTAATCTATATTTAGAGCCGTTTCTCATTATGTGTCCGACATATTCTAATTTCGTCTTTTAAATCGTATACATCACTTTTCTTTCTTTCCCCATTCTTCGTAGTACAGTCTCGTTGGTTATCTTGTCCGTCCATGATATCCTTAGGATTCTTATGTATAGCCACATCTCGAAGGCTTCAAGTTGTTCCCCCATCACTTCAGTGAGGGTCCAGGATTCAACTAGGTAGTATAACATCGTAGGAGCATTACTTTTATCTCCAGATTAAGGTTGTGGCTTTTAAAGAGTTTGGCCACGTTGTTGAATGCACTCCTAGCCTTTTCTATTCTACATTTTACTTCTTGTGAGTGATCCCATTGTTCGTTTACTATTGTTCCAAGATAGGTAAACTGTTTTACTCGGTCCACTGGTGTATTCTTGATAAGCAGTTTAACGTCTGTAATTTTATTTTTGCTGATGACCATAAATTTAGTTTTTCATATGTTTGCTTTTAGTCCAAATCTTTCACTTACTTCATTTACTTTGTATATTAGTTGCTGTAAAAGTAGGTTAGGTGAAAGGATAGTTAGCTGAAAGTATACATCCTTGTCTAACGCCTCACAGAATCCCGATCGCTTCCGTCGGTTCATCTCTAAGATTTTTTCTTATTGTGGCTGATTGGTTCCAGTGGAGCTTTTTCGCTTCCTGTTTCTTTGGTAACGTAGTAAATTCTGAAAATAGCCAATCTTTTGGAATAATATTAAAGATTTTACACAGTATTCTTAAAGATTCATCATCAAGTAGTTTAAGAAATTCAGACTGTACTCCTTCTGGTCCTGGAGCTCTCCCTTATTTAAGTGATATTATGGCTGCTCTTATTTCTGCCACTAGTATAGGTGGTCCTGTTTCCGTAGGTATTGGGGGCAGGTTCTCCCTCTCATCAAAAAATAAATTTCGTATGTAATTTTTCCAAGTAATATCAATACTCTCTTTGTCCACAATTATCTCTCCATTGTCATTAACAGGTTTACTTACTCTTCTGTTTTTTTTTTGCCTGTAATTTCTTTACCTTCTTATGCACGTTGAAGTCGTCATATTTACTTTGTAGAATTTCGATTTCTTGGCATTTTTTCTCCAGTTCTTTCTGTTTGACTTCTCTGATTTTTCTCTGTATATCTCGTTGTAATGATTTATACAAAGAATAGAATAGAATAGAAAAAAAGCTTTATTCTCAGGATTCACAAGTTACATACAAATATAAATTGTCAATAGAGAGAATGGTGTCAGTTACAATTTATAATGGTTGCTGTAACAACCTACACTTAACATAAAAGTAATATTAAAACATAATGATAATAACAGTGACATTTAGATTCAGGTAAGAGCCCTTAGTCTGTCTACAGGTTAGCTTGAAGGTATTCTTCCACTTTGTATGGTTCAAGTTGTATGAGCATAGAGTTATTGTTCTTGTTTTTCCTTCTTTCTTCCATCAGCTGCAGAATCTCTGTCGTTATCCATGTCTTATTCTTACCTTCTTCGTTCTTCATAAAATTGCCTTTAATGTCGTCTATCGTTTTATTAAGAGATTCTGCCACTAGTGCACTCTTCTGGGCTTTCTGTTGTATTATCGATGTCTTTGAATTTTCTATTTATTGTTTGCTAACTATTTCTTTTACTTCACTACATTTCAGTTTTCTCATGTCATGTTTTTTTACAGTTTTGTCGCGTATTTTCTTTAAGTTAGTTCCATACACGCCCACTAAAGGATTGTGGTCAGATTGAACATCATCGCCTGGGAAGGTTTTAACATTTTTGAAACTATTTCGATATCTTTTGTTAAGAAGTATATAGTCTATTTGGTTTCTTATAATAATGTCTTTTGCCCATTTGCTCTATGTGAAATCCATGTATACAGGCGTCTACAGGTGGTAATTTGTAAAATGTGTTTAGCAGGATTAAGTCATGTTCAGCTGCAAAGATACTTATTGTTTCTCCTCGTTGATTTCTCTCTCTTAATCCATAAGGACCAATATGTTGCCCTTCGTTTCCGTTACATATTTTAGCAACGAAATCTCATATGACCATAAGGAGTTCATGTTTCGGTATATCTCTTATAAGGTTGCTTATTTGCTTACAAAATTCTGATATTTCCTCATCACTGTGGTCTGCTGTGTGTGCATACATTTGTATAATGTTAGTGTTTCATATTTATTAACACATTATTATTATGATAACACGAGGATTCTATCGTTCACTGGTATGAAGTTGTTGACATGTTTGGCCATACTTTTATGTGTGATAATTCTGACTCCATTTTCATATTTATCATTTTCTGATCCTGAATAGTATACTCTGTCTTTTTCTATGTCACAATAACTTGAGTCTGCGTATAAAGTCTGCAATAAATTATTGCTGTTTTCATGTGTTCCATTTCTTTGATTACACATTGGATTTTTCCTGATTAAGCCATAGTTCTAACGTTCCAAGTGGATATTCTCTTCATACAATTTGTGTGGATTTTTCTGCCTTACTTTTTGCAAGAAAATGTAAGACCACATTCCACCAGGTATGCTACAGAATACCTAATTGAAGTTGGATATATTTACTAAATTTGGCATGTTTCCTGACAGAAATTGTATGGAAATGTCTGGGACTATTTAGGCAGATATGTAAGAAGTCATGAGAGACCACCCACAAATAACAATAAACTTTGTATTGAGCTTATAGAGGCGTTAAGTAACATCCCAGTAGTACATTTGAATTCTAATTGGTGGAATGTTGTAAGAATATGAGGTCATATGATTCAATAATACATAATTTTGTAGAAAATCAAGCTAGCACACTGAATTAAAAATATTGTAGATGGAGACTGAACCAAGCTGGCATACAGGATACTTTTGAGACACATTTAAAGTTGTATTTCGTCACAGCATGTCTTAAACCTACCAAAATACAGAAAATAATTTTTTCCCATAAGCTGTATATAAATATGGCCTTATTCAGAAATTTGAATGATCTAAATTAACCAGGGACAAATTTCCTTCTACTTCTAAAAATTAACAAAATCGGACCATAAATAAAAAGGTAAGTAATTTTTTAGTGTTTTTTTAGGCATTTCTGTATAAAAGTGTATGAACAACTTTGCACTGTGTTTATTCTAAAGATGTTTAATGTAACAAGGGATTGTGAAATTTTTTTTCAACCCATCTAAACCCATCATCCAAATCATGAAAACAAAATTTATTCCAACTCTATTTTTTAAAAACTTGCAGGCTTTTAATATAAATGTTAACATCATAGTTTTTAGCAATACTTTTAGATTTTACTGTTAGTTGTAGACTGTTAATGAATCTATTTACGATATTACTATCAGAACTTAATTTCAATGCCGTTTTCACATCCTAAAACACAGCCATATAAGTGACAACCTATTCCTTGTCCTGTCTATGTTTTTTTTCTGATATTTTCTACATATTTTGGAATATTTTCTAATATCAAAGGTCTTTATATTTATAATGTGATGTACAATTCTAGAGTACTTGTGTAAAGTACTCTACATACCTATATGATTCACCTTTTCTATCATTGAAAAACATTTATAAATCAATCATACATATCTTGGCCTGCATTACAACTTCATTGTTTTTAAAGCCAAAAAGGCAACATCTATAAAATCAAGTACCAAAATTTGCATGAGTGTCATAAACATTGATCTGAAGTATTTAGATAATTTATATATTGAAAAAAATTCAAAAATGAATATTGGACCAGGAACAGTTATTAAAAAAAACACATAAATTCAAAATAATAGCAGGCTTGACAGTTGTTCATGAATAACAAATCTTGTTTTTACCAAAAAATTTCAATGTTAAGGTTAAATTTTACCTTAATTCATTGTAAATTATTATTTATCTAATCAATGACCCTTCAACTGATTATTAAATTTTTGGTTGTAAAGCTTTAATAACTACTTAAATTAGGTTAAATACGTACAAAAGCATTGAACAAATAATAATGATAAAAAATATATCTTTGACCTACTTTGCAACAATTAATTATAAAAAAGTTTGAAAATATGGTTATTAAAAAGTATAATGTTTACACGCGTTCACACGAAATTAAAGAAATGTAATTAACAATGAAACAAAAATGAGAAATCTTAATGATAATATTATTAAATATTACTGGAATGTGAAATTGAGGATCTTGAGCGGCTACAGAATTGGGGGAAAACGATCCGAGTGACCCCATTAGACAAATATTTAGAATTCCGTAACAATTGTCGATGAAAAAGTTGCTAGGTCGAGCGTACCATATAATTTCACTGCCAATTTTAACATACTCGCGAAGCAAGAAAACAAAAATATTTTTGCGGCAGAATATTTGGAAAATAGGGCCATAAAATGATTGTTTTTTTAAGAAATTATAGTAAACAATGTAAAACAAACATTTGATTAATAAAATTCAATGAAATTTAAAATAAAAACCAGCGAAGCTCTCAGTAAAATCAACAAAAACAATACTTACAAACACTGCAGGAGATTAATAAAAACAACTAATAACTTACACCCTTAAAATCAATACTCTGATCCCCCTTTAACCCTTGTACAACATTTTGACTTACCTTATAGCTTTGGATATCCTTAAATAGGTAATTAATAGAGAAGGAATTAATTAAACACAAATAATAACACAGTTTTTCACAATAAAACTCACTAACAAGCAAAACTGTTAAAAGAATTTGACATTTTAGTCGAACCTGTGAGTTTGGTATGTTTGGAATGTCAAATATTTACATTGGCCACCTACTGGGAAACCTCTCGATTATTACACCACGTTTACACCAAACAAAACGCCGAATTCAAATTACGTCTAAAAGACAACATGTACAGAACAAATATTAGTAGTTTTTACAACAAAATACTACATTGTATATTTAAATAAATCAAAATCGTTTATAAATGTCTGAAATTATTTGATTAAAATAAACAATCAAGCATATTCTAGCTTTGTAACTGTGTCTTCACGGAGTGAGTAGAAATATTTTGCACGAGATCAACACGACCGTGGGTGAAGATAGTTTTGAGTATGGATTTGAATGAATATGGGAAAGTTCTTGTGCTTACGATAGTCAAAAAGAATGCGGTACCAAAATTTGATTCCTTAAGAGTTGATATGCGCGGTAAACGGTTTGGACTCGCTAAAATATGGGGAAACGAATTTTTTGGACAATTCGATGGAGATTCCAAATAAAAGAACAGAGATAATATTTTATTTATTAAATTCTTACAATAAATATTACAATATATAAATATATGGCAGCATGCATTTTGTTTTTGTAACAAATAAAGCCTAAAAAGTTGTATTCATGATTTTCAAAATTTTAACTGGAATCTCGTGGTGATCCCCATGTACTGGCAACCAACAAAACATCAATATTAAAAATGAAATAAATGAACAAAAACTTAAATTAAAATGAAGAATTCTGGTTTTTTATTTATCGTTTGTATCCAACTGAAAAATTATATTATTGTTATCATACAATATTATTGTATGTTTTATTCTCGCTATTTCGTTTAACTATCTATAATTAAAGAATCACACTATTAATTTTATTTTGAAAAGCTATGGAAGCTATATTCAGCAGGTCGAGGGATATCTTGGAGGCCTTAATTCGGTTCTATGTACTTGGCAATTTAGTCTTCATAGCTTTCTGGATCTTCTTTGACATTTTTTATGACGATTAAACCATTCATTTGTCCAGTTTTTCAATTTCTTTACCATGTTCTTATCTGTTACCTTCTATTTTACATCACATCTAGTATTTCAACATTCATCCACTGTTTTCTATTTGTTCTTGTTCTAAAATACTTGTCTTTATTATTTTTATGTAGTCACTTTTTGCTCTATACATTGTTGTATTTCTTGTTTCTTTTATGTATCTTTAATTAATCTCAAATTATATTATCCTGTTTTGGTTTTTTGATTGTTTTCAGTTAGTTTGCGCACTGAACGATTTTACGTTTGCTCCAAAATATGCCCCAAATGAAGTTATTGTATTTCTAAATTTCCTCGTCAAGCTAGAGGACAAGGAACCGTAATTTCAAGTCAAGGTGAGCCATATTTTGTAGCAAGTGTTTTCTAGCTGGACTTTTGGAAAAAACGGTATGGGTCAGACAACTTATTGTATGTGCTGAAAAATTTATTGGGTACATGATGAATCTTTTACCCTTTAAAGAAACATTTTAAAAATGAATTGGAAGTGAAGTTTTGACAGAGGATCAGATTTACAATTGCGATGAAACGCTTTTGAGTTTTAGACTCTTGTACACAAGAGAAGTAAGGAACGTGTTAGTATCTTAGTCTGCAGTAATATAACAAGAGAGGATAAGCTAAAACTATGTGTTGATAAAGCTCATGATTCTCGGTAAAGCTAAAAAATCAAAAGTGCCTTTAAATATGTTGATGTAACCAGTATTCCAGTGTAGTCTAAAATCTAGCCATATGCGTGGATGAATGAACCAATATTTAAAAAGTGGTTCTAGGATAAGTTCGTACCTGCAGTTTAAAGACATATTATGAAACTAAAAAATGTCCCAAAAATAGGCATTGCCTCTTCACCTCCAAAAACAGATGAAATACACGACGGTGAATTAAAAACCAAATTCCTGCTCTCAACGTGACTGTACTCTGCAGGCTTATGGATCAGGGGTTCTAATATCTATAAAGAAGAGGAACCACTGCAAACTGCTTTCACATATATTGGTAACTGTTGAAAATGATCAAAATTTGATACAAAACTTAGGAGTAGAATGAATTACTAAAGTTTTATTAAAAAATCCTTTATAAAAGGTACCTATATAATAAAAAATACTACTTCGGGCTATATCACAAAACGTTTTCAGACTAAAAAGTCCATAATCAGTGTAATATTACCAGGTATACATGAGTCAAGCAACTTAATATCTGGATAAAACCCTTAAAAAGTTACAAACTTTATGTATTACATTATTGTTAAAAATATGTTGTGATGTGAAAGTATTTAACAAATATCCTGCATGGCATTAAAAGACTCTCAATAGGGGTTGTTGCAACTCTAGTTGTTATCTCAACAAATAACTCAGCGACAATCAGAACTGTAAAGGCCATACCTAGACTCGTCCGTAAAAAGAAGGTTTTTAAGTGCTGGATGTTCCAGTTCCATGTTCTTTAGCGGACTATGATATGAAGATTTGCTTCCGAAAGACATCTTCTGACAGTGCCAAGGCTGGGCTGAACACAGTGAACTGCTACGAGCTATATTAAAATAGTCCTAGATGCGGTGAAACGTAGTCTACTTTATTGTTTTCTTATGGAATAATGATTAATTTTTCTGAAGTGTCTGACAACATAAAAGGTTGTATGCGCAAATCCTAATCTCAAACTAATGGCACGATAACTTAATTGAACACATTCATCGTGAGTCATATTTTTTCTAACCAGTTTCATATGTAAATAAACAACAATAAAAAGTTATACAAAGACAATTCTAATTTAACCGAACTTTCATAAAACTGATATTAAGCTGGGTACACACATGCCAGTAAATTGAGAAAGTAGCATGCCAGTTGCCAGCATAGGCCAGTAACTGTGCTAGTAAACAATCGAGTGGTTTTCATCTGAAACTAAAGTACTTGTTTTTGAACAAAAACGTGGATCAAAGCTATTTGGAATGAATTAAACAAGCAAATATTCCTCAACAGTTGCTTGTTATCTGATAAATCAGAAGTTGAACACAAAAAAGAGAAAATTTGGGGAAGAAATTGGAATGGTAAACGAGAAAATCTTAAAGCAATTTTTTATATTGGCCTTTACCTCCTTTGTAGTAATATCTTCACCCATTTCTTGTAAAATTTTTGTGTAAGAATTGTCACGGGATATTTTATTTTTATATAGAGACGATTTTGAATTCAAAAGACACTATAACTCTCTATATATAGTAATAAATTTGTTCATTTTTTTGTATCTCCGGCTTTTGAGATAATAATTTCGAGTCATCGGTAGGATTCGGGGCACCGGTTCCGGCTCACTTTGTCGGGTCAAAAGAGATGATACAGACTACAAAATACCTGAAAAGCTTGGAATTCGGTTGGCACCCCGCGTTCGCTTAGTGCTACCACAGAATAATAAACAATCAGAATGCCCACTCTCAGATGCTGCCTTTGAAGTTTTTCAGCACGCGCGCCATGTTTTAGAAGGAAACACATAACACAGGGATATGATTTGTGAGGTTATGTAATTGTTTATATTTATGTTTAATTATATTATATTTAAACAATGTTAAAATAATTGCATAGTATGTCTATGATTGCCATAAGTCAATTAAACCGGGATAATTTTTCTATGCACACCACATAAGTTTTCGTTAAACAACAATGGTTCCCTCTAAAACATGGCGGAACGTCTGCGCGTACTTAATTTTCCATGGAGAGTGGGCATTCTGATTGTTTATTATTCTGTGATACTACGACGTCATTCCATTCTTACTGACTCTTTTGAGATTCGGATCAGTTGCATCTTTCTGACGATGCATTTTCTTATAAAGAGTTCAAGGACATTTAAAAAACAAAATGTTTATAAAGATTTCGATGTAACACACCCTTCTACCCACAAATCACTCTTCGACCTTGTCCTCTCTACAGGGTGTCCCAAACTTAACATAAGAAAAATATTTCCTTTATTCAACCCGGTATAAGCCCAAAAGAGCAGTTTAAATAAACCTTTGCCCAACTGTGTGAATACCAAAGAAATCTAAAGTAAATACAAAATTAGCGGAATCCGTTCACGACAAAATTTACTACGAAAATAAGCATAATTTTTGGCGGTGCAAAACTTTAACTAGTATTTTTTCTTTCGGCATTAAATTAATTTTTTCTCTGTAGTAAAATTTAAAATGTGTATTTAGGGCACTATTTAAAGTAAATATATCAAATTTGTAAACATTTGTGTTGACCCACAACTGGTCAATATAATAAAGAAACGCAAGCTGGAATACTTCGGTCACATTATGAGACACCCTGAGAAATATGATCTTTTACATTTGATCCTTCAGGGAAAGATCCAAGGTAATCAGGGTCCTGGTAGAAGAAGAACATTATGACTGAAAAATCTAAGGCTAATATAGAAAATCAACTACATTGTTATTTAGAGCTGCTGTCAATAAAGTCACGATAGCGAATATGGTAGCCAACATGATATCCAACGATCGATAACGGTCATGGAACTAAAAGAAGAAGAAACATTTGTAAACTAAAATAAAACACTGTTTTATATTCTTTATTTTAATTACACATACACGAGTATTGTTTGTTTTTTATAATCTTGAAACATTCATCGATATAAACGATATAAAAAATAATTATGTAGTTGAATGTATGCTTGAACATGCAAAGTCTTCTTCATCGTCGAATTCCAAAATCTAAAAATAAGAAAGATATTTTTTAATTACATAGGTATCTATAAAATTATTGGACATTGTAATCATTTCCACAACTCACACAAAAAATGTTCTGTCAAAGGAAGACGAAAAGAAAAGTATATAAAAGAATCTGAAACTAGAAGTTAGGAGAATATTAAAAGGTCAAAAGTGAGACAATATTGTTAACGTAGACGCTCCAAGAACAAAAACAAGGACTTGGACAACACCTTTTAAAAAAAGCGCAGTCATTATCTATTAACTTTTAACTCAATTTGATTTTGGATAGCGATTTGAATTTGAACAAATTTTTCAAAGTAAATTTTGATTGGTATTGATATTTTCAGAATGAAAGTAGAAGGAATTGAAACACAAGTTTTCGATTGATCCAGAAATAAATAAATCAAATGAAATAAATACAGATTTAACATAAGAGCAAAAGAATTTAATATGACAATCTCATCTCCGAAAACTAAGACAATAGTAATCAGCAAAGGAGCCAACCAGATGTAAAATAGAAATTGATGACATCAGTATTGAACAAGTAATGGAAATAAAATACCTTGGAATTACATTGTCTAGCTATGGAGACCTGGAAAAGAAGTGAGAGATCAAGTACAAAAAGCAAATAGACTGGCAACACTATATGGCGAAACACACACATTAACACTGAGATGAAGTCAAGAATTTATAAAGCAAGTGTATGATCAATAATGACATATGGCTCAGAAATAAGACCCGGCACAGCCACATCACAAAGGCTACTGGAAACGACAGAGATGAGATTACTGAGAAGAATTACAGGAAATAAGAGAAAGATCGAAAGATCGTGAGATCGAAAGAGAAGTGAACACATTAGAAGAAAATGTAAATGTATAAATGAATGGACACAAAATAGAAAAAAAAAAGAATGGGATAACCACATAAACAGAAGTGGGGAGGCCAGTGTCTTCCAAATAGCAAGAGATAAGTCACCAATCGACAGAAAAAGTATCGGACGACCGCACAAAAGATGGAGTGACAACCTTCCATAGAGGTATTAATTCACCAATGAACAAGGACAAAATTATTAGGAACCAAATAGATTTCATTCTAATAAAAAATCGATTTAGATACTGCATCAAATCAGTTAAAACTTATCAAGGTGATGACATTGGGTCTGATCACAATCCCACAGTAACTGTAACCCAACTAAAATTAAAAAAGGTATCTTCAATAAGAAACAAACTGCATTGCTACAGGATGAAAATGGTAAAGTAATATTTGAAGTAGAGGATAAACTTAAAGAATGGGAAAATTACGTCACGAACCTATTTGAAGACGATAGGAGTAGTTCACCTACCGATATTAGTAAATGCGACGGACCCCTAATAACACGCTCTTAGGTTATAAAAGTCATACAATCATCAAAAGATGACAGAGCGACTGGTCCTGATGAAATTCCAACTGAAATATACCAGTTTATAAATGATAGCAATGTTTTAGAGGCTATAACTTCGTTTTTCAATACCATTTATACCAGCGGACAACTATCTAATCGTTGGTCTAATTCACTGTTTATAGAACAGTAAAAACCTGTACTGATTATAGAACCATCAGTTTGTTAAACCACTTATTGAAAATTTTTCTGAAGGTAATACATGGTCGTATCTACAATAAATGCGAGGAATACCTGGATAACACTCAGTTTGGTTTCCGTAACGGGTTTGGAACGAGAGAGGCACTGTTTGGAATGAACGTACTTGCTCAAAGATGTCGAGATATATCTGTAGACATATACTGTTGTTTTATTCACTTCCAAAAGGCATTTGATCGTGTTAAGCACTCTATATTGAACGAAGCTGTAAAAGACATTAGCTTGGACGGCAGAGATATTCGAATAATTGCAAATTTATATTGGAATCAAACAACGTCAGTTTTAGTAAACGTTATGGAATCACAGGCGCTCAATATTAAAAGAGGAGTACGGCAGGGATGCCTCTTGTCACCCCTGCTTTTCAACGTTTACTCCGAAAGAATTTTCAGAAAAGCACTTTCTGAAAAACAAGAAGGAGTACTTGTGAACGGTGAAGTCATCAATAATTTGCGATATGCGGACGATACAGTACTCCTAGCTTCTAGTCAAGAAGATCTGCAAACACTACTTGATAGTGTCGTTGAGAGTTGTAGGGAGGCAGGTCTAGATCTGAACACACGGAAAACCAAAATACTCGTAATAAGTAAACAACAGCAAATAAAACCGTCTATATATGTAAATAATACCAAACTTGAGCAAGTTTATAAAATCATTTACCTTGGACAGCAATTAATATAGGATAGAGCAAGCTAGAGCTGCTTTTAGAAGGATGTTCAAAGTGTTATGTAACAGAGACCTAAAATTGGCATTGAGGATCCGCCTACTTCACTGCTACGTGTTCTCGGTCTTACTTTATGGTGTCGAGTCCTGGACTGTGAATAAAAGCGATCTAAATCGCCTTGAGGTTTTCGAAATGTGGTGCTATAGAAGAATTTTAAAAGATTCCTTGGTGGAGAAGATTCGAAACTCCACAATACTAGAACGTCTCAGCAAGACTACTGAGATCATAAAAGGCATCAAGCAGAGAAAGCTGGATTATTTCGGACATGTAAGGAGAGTTGGTCTGGAAACGTATGACATTAGATTGCTCAAAAATCTTTACTACAATCAGACCGCTTGTGTTAAAGTGGACCAAGAGGTTTCAACTAAAGTTTCTATTAAGCGTGGTGTCAGACAGGGATGTGTTATGTCACCGATGTTGTTTAATGCCTACACTGAACCAGTTTTTGAAATAGCGTTAAATAAACGCCGCGAAGGTGTTAAGGTCGGTGGTGAAATTATTCATAACATCGGATACGCCGATGATACCGCAATAATCGCAGAGAGTCTAGATCTTCAAACCCTGTTGAATGCTGTAAACAACGAATGCACTGAAAAGGTCTTAACAATCAACGCAAAAAAAAACAAAATGGATGGTGGTCGGAAAAATTAATATGAAAGATTCAGGACTAAGATTAGATAACAAACTCCTGGAAAGGGTGGAACACTTTAGATATCTGGGTAGCTGCATTGATTGCAGGGTTGAAAGTGACGAGGAAATTTCGACCAGAATAGAACTCGCACGGAAAAACTTTATTAACTGCCGTTCTGTATTATGCAGTAGAAGTCTGTCGTTGACCACACGTCTAAGAGTATTGAAGTGCTACGTCTGGTCCACTTTGTTCTATGGATGTGAAACCTGGACAACAAAAATAAAAAATCTTAACAAATTAGAAGCGTTTGAGTTATGGTGTTACCGTCGCATGCTCAGAATCCCGTGGACAGCACACATATCTAACGAACGTGTGCTAGAGACCACGCACAAAGAGCGAGCATTGATCAACATCATCAAAATGAGAAAGGTCCAATACTTCGGTCATATAATGAGAGGACCTTAATATCGCTTACTCCGGTTAATCATTCAGGGCAAAATCTAAGGAAGACGTTGGGTCGGAGGAAAACAACTGTCCTGGCTGCGTAACATTAGACAATGGATAGGTCGAACGATCGAGGAACTGTTTCATCTAGCTGCCGACCGAGAATCATTTCATCAGCTTGTCAATATAACGATACCCAACGCTTGAATACAAGCACGGCACACAAAGAAGAATGAGAGTCCCAAAGGTTCCAGTACAGGACGAAGAAGAACCTCATGGTTGAAGAACTTGCGAGATTGGTATGGTGTTGATACAAGCATGCTATTTAGGGTGGCAGTGAATAAAATTAAGATAGCTATAATGGTAACCAACGTTCTGACAGGACATAGTACATAAAGAAGAAGAATGAACAAGTAGAATTGCTTATAAAGAAGAAGAAATGAAATTAATAGCAAAATACAGAAAACAATTTATAAACAGTCCAACTTACATCTTCCATATTCATCTCCTTGCAGAGCTCAGTAAGTAGAGCAACATCTTCTAAATGCTTGGAACTGCTGAAAACTTCGAACAGAAACTCCATCCCCTTCTCCCTATATTCTTTTATTATCATTTCCGAACAAGCTACGCAATTTTTGTATTTCTGTGTGGCTGGTAAGAATTGTTCTAGAGAAGATAAAAATCCTCTTATGGAATGTGGCACCACACCTAAAATCGATGAATTGAAGTTTTCCGTGTTCACGTTGTTGGAATTCTGATTAGATGCCGTGTAGTATGCTGGAGCCATTATTCTGAAAAAGCAATATCAAATAATGATTATAAAATTTGTCAGCTCAGTATGCAGGAACAGGAACATTCTTATTCATTTTCATTTAAGTAGGTATATTTTTTTGTTTTGCAATAAATTTGAAAATAAATGTAACAATAAAACACTGAAAACTTTGTTTTCAAACTTCCACAAAATTTATTTTAACCTCTTATCCCTACAGCTGTTTCGGCTGATTGCCTTTCTCAAGTGATCTATTTTTGGCATGCGTTTACACTTTATAGTCTCTAATGAAATAGGTTGAGGAGGGGAGAACTGTTTGTCTCAAGTTGGTCATTCAGAATTATATGTGTGTTTTTTAATTTGTTGATTTCCACAGATTCTAACAAGGATAACTTACGGCCTTTATTTTGAATGTGAAGAATTTTAAGTTCGTCATTAAAAGAATGATTGTAATCTAGAAGGTGAAGTGCGTATGTAGAATCTGTTGTTCTATTATTGAAAGCCCTTTTATGTTCTGCTATTCGTTTATTAAAGTTTCTACCAGTTTGATCAATGTAAGTTTTGGGCAGTCGCCACATTTAAGTTTGTACACCCCACTGTGTAAGTGTTTTTTATTTTGGCTCTTGTTGTTTTTGATATATTTGCCTAAGTTATTATTTGTTCGGAAAGCTGGTGTTATTCCTTTCTTTTTTATGTGTTTGGCTATTTTTGTTGATATTTTGCCTGTATATGTAATCGAGCAGAAGGTACTGGGTTTTTCTCTGGTGGTGGAAATACTAATTTCAGGGCTTTCTTGTGTAGTTTTGGATTTAACATTTTATTAATTGTTTGTTCGTTGTATCCGTTGTTTACTGCTATTTGCTTAATGATATTTAATTCTGTCTCAAAGTTGTATTTTGACATCGGAATTTCTGTTAATCTATGTAACATACTATGATAGGCTGCCAGTTTATGTTGTGTTGGATGGGATGATGAATTGTGTATAGTCGTGTCAGTATGGGTAGGTTTATGAAATATGGAGAAGTCATGTTTGTTTTTAAGTCTGATCATTTTTAAATCTAAAAATTTTATGGATTGATTTTGTTGTTTCTATTGTAAATTCAATATGACTCTGAAGTGAATTAATATACGATACAAATTGATCGAGTTGCCTGTTAGTTCCTGTGAAACATACCAGTACGTCGTCTACGTATCTCCACCAATATAAAAACTGTTTAAATACGGGATGTTTTGAAATCTTTGTCTCTAGATGATCCATAAAAATATCTGATAACAATGGGCTTAGAGGATTGTCCATTATAAGTCCTGCACTGTTATTTGTATATATTTGATTATTAAATTCAAAGTAGACCTGGTTTATGCAAACTTCAAGGAGATGTAAAATTTCAGATGTAATTATTGGATTTGTACTATTTTGGTCTAAATGTTTTTTACTAGAATAAAAGTTTCTGTAGGAGGAAAAAGATTTTTTACGTCAAATGAAATTAATCTGGAGTTGTTAGGTAATTGAATATGTTGTATTTTATTAACTAGTTATATTGTATTTATTATGGCAAATTTAGGTGAAAATTTAGTGTAAATTACTATTTAACTGGGAATAAGCCACAATAAAAGATAAAAATACGTTTATTGACGTTTCAATTTCTACTTCGGAAATCGTTCTCAAAATACAAACAGTAAATTGAAAACATTTATTGAAACGTCAATAAACGTATTTTTATCTTTAATTGTGGCTTATTCCCAGTTAAATAGTAATTAATTTAAAATGCCACAAGAAAATAGCTTCAGAACAATATTAAAATTTAGTGTGTTCTAAAATAATGTCTAACAGTTTTTTTTAAAAGCTTGTATGACGGAGCTGTATAAAAAGAAACTACAGGTCTTATTGGGTGATCCGGTTTGTGTAGTTTAATGAAAGAGTATAATTTAGGAGGCTGTAGGTTCATGATATTAAGGTATTTCTGTTCTATTGGATTTACTATTAATTTTGAATTTTCTAATGCTAGCTAGTGATAAGAGGTTAAAATTAATTTTGTGGAAGTTTGAAAACAAAGTTTTCAGTGTTTTATTGTTACATAAAATGAATTTCCATCAAGTAACGGTCGAATCCATCAATTATTGATAATAAATATTTTTTTATAAGCCTTCTTAAGATCATTCTGACTATGATGACTTTGTTAGTTGTTATACGGAATAGCTATGTTGAGGTCTTTCTATACCATGCTCTAATGTTAGCAAGCCAGGATATTCTTCTTCGTCCTGGAGCCATTTTTCAATTTTACATTGCAAAATTCATTGGAGTAGCTCATATTTGCCTTGATTTCTCATTATATGTCCCAAGTACTGCAGCTTACGGCCCTACGGTGTTCATCCTCCGTAGTACTTCTTCATTGGTGACTTTGTCTGTTCTAAATTCTAAATTGTTGAATTCTTGCGTCCCTGATTATTTTGCATCAAAGCTTATAGAAACTTTTTATAGAGGAGTGAAATCTGAATTAAAAACATGTGTTAAAATTGTTCTACGAATTAAGCGTACTCCAAAATTTTGCAAAAATATAATATATTTTTCAGGTCACCCCTTAAAGTCAGGCCACAGGCGGTACAAGAATGTGTATGGCATGTTGCGTTTGATCATACTGATGTTTCTGATATTTGACATATTTGAATTTCGAATTGTCAATATTTTTATTTTATGATTAAATTATAAACAACAAATTTTCGCAAATAGTACTACTACTAGTAAACAATAAATAGTATTTTATAAGCAATAAATTGTATTGTTTACAAAGCAATAAAGTTGATGAAATGTACTCAGTTCACGAAAAATCGCGATAATATTATATTCAGGCAATAGTGCGAGTACTGCCAGATATTTATTTAATGTAAGATATTATAATACACTCCAATTCAATTTCAGGTTATACAACAATTCAATGAATTTCAATATAGTTTTACTGTGATCCTTCCTAAAAATAATTTATGATAATCTCTAAACATAAAACTATAACATATGTTCAAGCAATAAGCCATTTTGTACTAAGCAGTATCCTAATCAATTGTAAAATTCTTGTCTAACATTAGCTAGAACACGTGGCGTCATTTTTGTACACTCTCCAATAATTCGCATTTTTAATTTTAATGCTTCTATATCTGTAAATTTTTGGTCAGAATTAATTTTTGATTTTAGATGCCCCCAGATAAAATAATCGTTTGAAGCTAGATCACCCGATCTCGAGTGCCACTAATGTTACAGTCAGGTCAATCAAACAATTATTAAAGCTGTTTTTAAGGGATTCCTTAACCATCCAGTTATTGCGCGAAGGGCATTCATCCATTTGAAACCAAATTTCTTATTCATTTGTAGCTATTTCTGCTAATCTGGATAAAATCTCTTCTTGTAGCAAGTCTAAAAACTTTTTTGAATTTAAATTTTCCTCATAGAAAAATGGTCCAATAATATTGTGTTCAAATATTCCTACCCAGATATTTATTTTTCTACGATATTGGGTACGGCTTTCAATAATATCCTCAGGCTTTCCTGTCGACCAAATCCTATAATTTTGAACATTTGTTTCATTATTTAATGTAAATGTACATTCATCACTAAACAAAATGTTTTTTTTTTTAAATTGTCCGTCTGCATTACCCCTCTGTAAAATTTCATAACAGAATTCCGCTCGTATCTCAACATCTCCTTCTCTTAGTTCTTGATGACATTGATATTTATATGAACTGAAATTATTCATGTTTAAAATTATTAAGACCGTGGAATTGTGAATATTAAACTGGTCTGCAATGGTCCGAAAACTTATTTTAGGATTTTCTACAACTGCTGTTAATACATTTATTTAATTTTTAAATTTAACGACTTATTTTAAATCGAGCTATTGGGTTAACTAGCTTTGGTTTATACTAATTGGTTTTTTGCAATAGAATTTAGTTCATTGTATCATTGTATCATATTACTATGTTCACTATATACATATTCATGTATATAGTGTATACATACCCTTCATTATGTTGTAACATTGCAACTGCCAATTCTGCCGCTAGAGCACCTGCTATTTGTGATACTCCTGGTCTAGTTACTGTACACTGCTGATCTAATGTTCTGTTTTTCATAGACTAAAAATTTATTACTATTACAACACTATACATTGTAATTAAAACTTTTTGAGTAGAAGAGGACAACCAAAGAAATATATTTGTGAAACATTTTAATGACATATTAAAATATGATAAATATTTTAAATTCACAATCCAGTATATTAAAATTTGCATAAAATATTTACTTACATCTCCAGGCGCCGTAACGTCATTACAAAAATAACATCCTAAATAATTTCCCGGAATACTTTTGAATCCTTCGGGATGTGGTAGTTGTGGAATGTTTATATCCTCAGTACATATACCATGCCTCATTACCAAATATGAATCAAATCCTAAGGCAGCGTTTATCACTAGCTTAAAAATTAAATTCACTTCATATATATACAAAATAAAAATGCTGAGATAATAAAGTTTAAAGTTTTAAAAAAATCTTAAAAAGATTTAGTTAACTTTAGAAAAAAAACATAACTCTTGTTATTTGATTGTGTCAGTCATTAAAATGCATAAACAATTATTATTTTACAGAAAAAAAACACATATTTATAAAAAAGTTTATTTAAAAAAAAACAAGTGGCTTAACATGTTCTTCGATTTAAAAAATCGTAACACTATTTTGGAAACAAATATTCTTCATCTAATTTAGATAACGACTTACGTCATTATCTACGTGAGAATTCGAAGTTGACATAGTTGCCAAAGTATAAAAAAATCCTGACTCCATTTTAAATCAAATAGATTACATAATTATTGCAAAAGTATTGCCATCTCTTTACAACGACTATTTAAATTCTTACGTGACATTTTTGAAATAAAACACACTAATTCTGTTCTAAAAAGAACAGATTTTATTAAATAGTTAAAAATATAAAACAAGAGATATTCACTTTAAAATTCAAAATAATGAAGTACAAAAAGTGTCAACACCGCAACTGTCAAATAATTGTTACCAATTTATGTCAAAATTTTACCTTCGTTCGATTACAGTTACAGTGTGTTCTGAACAAATGTTCTTGATAAAAACGCTTTATAACGCATTTATACAAATTAAATGAAACATATTATTGTGTATTTCTTTAAATTAACATTAATAGAAATTTTTAAATATTATTAAAATAAAATATGTCTAGTGGCTGTAATGCCAGTGTACTCGGTAAAGTGATTCTAAAAAAGAACACACCTATACCCTAAATATTTTTTGTTGGTATTATGTGACGTCACAGGCTATGACGTCGATGACGTGCATCGTTATATAAATTAGATGAAGTGTAATAAAATTATATATCTACAATTTCCACTTCTTCATTATCATTGTCAGTAGCTTATTTTAGGTGATTATAAAAAGTATGGTAGACTGGCGGAATATAAGATAATCAGCTTTTATTTTATTTATATATATTTTATGTATATATATATATATATATATATATATATATATATATATATATATTAATAAATATTTTTTATTTTATTTTTTGTAATTTTCAGAGGCTCTTTGTATTTTTTTGATGTTTGACAACTTTATTGTTACAGGTCTGCCTTTTCTTATGACATTAACTTCTTGATATTCTCCATTGACACTATGTTTGACAAAAAATGACAACATTTTGTGATTAAAGTCGAGAGCAGTATGTTCCAACAGAACCTAAGCTCTGTTTGTCTGAAAAACGTGCTTTTTTTTATTAACATTATTTAGAAGAGGTTCAAAACTGTAAAAATCGTTCTGTCATCTGCGAGACATCAAAGGGATTCCTTTTATTTGCTTTCATAATAATATCTGCCCAACCTCCTGGCGAATAAATAACTGGTGCAAGGTGTCTCTGGCGTTTCTCAATTTAGGCAAAATCCCGGTCTGATGGCATAATAGAATGACCACTAACCAGAAAATGATGTGTTATTTGCTTAAATTTCGTTTGCTTGACTAACTACAACCAAAAAGCCATTAATTGCCAGTTCTTTTTCTGACCTGGACAGTTATCGTTAAAAACAACGAGCTCTTCATAACATGACCTATTCTCTAAAAATGTCATCACAACAGAAGTAACCTCATCCGCTCCGCGCTTTGGCAGAGGTATACTTTGCTTTAAGTCAAACGAGATTACTAATTTTAACTTGTTTGTAGAACATTCTTTTTTTTTTCAGGCAAAGTTTGCATTGCACCAGAACGAGCTATGTGTAAATTCAATAAAGTAGTTAACTCTTTTTCTTGATCTGTATTATTAGCGTTTTTGGCTATCTTTATTTCAATGATCGTCTCATCACAAGTCTTGCAAGTATCAGGTCGAGGTAGTTTAAACCCTATGTTATATTCAGTACAAAATATTTTTCTGTATGCACTTTTTTTAATTGACGTAATATTCAGTTCTCTACATCAGGGCACATAAGAATTTGTATACAGTCCTGTAATTGTCATATCGCAGTTCAGAAATTCCTTCTTCACATTTTTGGCTCTGCTGTGGTGACTTTGGTATTTAGGAATAGATTCAATATGAGCTTTTACTGACTGAATCTATTCCTCTGAAAGTTTATTGGGTCTGTTTTTGTAATTACCTCTCATATCAGGAACAGGAACCATAACCCCGTTTGACTTTATTTTAAAAATATTTTAAATTCTTCCACAAGATTTTTGAAGACTTTGAACGCTTATGCATTTAGTCTTGCATACTTTAATCTCCTCATCTCCTACATTTACCAAATATTCAGCAGTATATTTTGTTCTAGAAGTGTAACTTTTCTGTTTCTTTTGTCTTGAATGAGAATGAGTCTTAAATAAACGTTTATGATTATTTTGCAGTTTCTCCCTACATTTATTTTTACAACTACACGGCTCGCTGATTTCACGCGAACTAAAAATCGTCTTAGTTTTTTTTTTCGAAGCATAATCTTGTCCCAAATTACGGCTTTTTTTCTTTTATTTCGATAATAGTTTTCCTCATTTCTTTGTCTCCATCTGGATGGTTTTTTCTTCTCTGGATTTACCTTGTTACTTCCGGAAACCATAGGTATGGGTTAGTGCAAATCATCCTAGAATACGAAAAAAATGATTGTATTAGAATTATTATAAATTTTTATACTAATAACTGCATAAGCCACATGACATACCATAATTTTACATAAAATATAAATGAAAAATAAGAAAAAATGCCTACCTCACTAGATATAGAAGAAAAATCATCGATACTAGGCCTATAGTCTTTGTCTGCTACACTATCATCACTATCGTCAATAAAACTTACATGTACGAAAGAAAAGCTTTCGTATGATGAGGATCTAAGTATTTGGGTTTGGGTTGAGATTGAGCGGGAGATTAATGTCGGTGGATGCTCCTATTGATGTGATTTTCACGCTAACCGTTTTGGATAAGGGCTTTTATTCCGTAAAAATAAATTTAAATATGACAACAATTTGCATATCTAAAAAACTTAACTATTGCGCCTCACGGTAATTTCGATGTGCAACTTCAAATTTAACAATACATATTGGTATTACAGATAGTACGTTATTAGCAACCATTTTATTATATTTCACACAATTATAATTTACTATTTTATTAGTTGTTTCTATTGTCAATTTTTTAAAATTCTAATACTTTTTATTACACTTAAAAAAAATTTTGTCTTCCTTCATAGTTTTTATAATTTGCTGCATAACAATTATTAAAATTTGGCCTCGGTTTTCTGGCTAAGTCAAAAAAATACGCGATTTTCGGCAAATCAGTTTAATAAAAATATTTATTTATATCTATTTAATGATTTTAAATAAAATAAAATGTGATATAAATATTACCTTTTTATGATTGGCTCCTAACAACGTAGGCAACCACCTACTCTCTCTTGAATCCATCAATAAAAATACAACATCATGTTCAACGATGAGCTCAATGAGCTTTTCAATATGCTGAACTGTTTCTTGGGTAAAACTTTCTCCGACCGGATGACCAGGCATTGGTATAGTCATTTGAAAGCCTTTAGAATTCTACAAAAATTAAAAATCTAATCAAATAAGATACTGCTTGGGCTTAACTATACAAACTTCTGGTATATTATTGAAATTTACTGTCAATAGGATGAAAAAATGCTTACCACTCCTGGAAAAATTCTTTTAAGACCATCAGCAGCCGCTTGTGACTTCGGTTTTGCTTCAACTGAGTCTTGGTAGATAAATAAACTTTGACGAACAGGGTTTGAAAATGACACATTAGCATTATCGACAAATGTAATATGTCTAATACCCCAACCCTAAAAAAGAAAACAGTCTTGAAAAAGAAAAAGGTCTCTTTTACGGCATGTAAGTAAATAGACAACCAGCAACACCTATTTGCAATATAAAATATTGCTTCAATTTAAACGTAACCCACAAGGGTTTTGTTGACTACATGTCCATGTGCTGTATCGACGATTATGAAACGCTACATACAGTACGAAAAAGTGTCGAAAATTGGCGATAATTACTCAAACGAGCCAGTTTTTGCTCCGATGTGGGCAACCCCGGAACTGAACACGCCAAGTAGCTGTGCTTTTCAATTCTTCAGTTAAAATTATACAAACCTATGCATAAATATTTGCGTTCAAAGTAGCTGATGATGATAACTGACTCTTATTTCCGGAATGTCAGTGGTTTACGAAAAAAATTATTTTGGTACATACATAATATGTACAATAATTATTTATTTTCGTTGTTATTTACATTTGGATAAAAGATATAATGATGTGTGGTTGAAAACAAAGTGTTTTTTGCTGTACCAATCAATAATAAAGGAAGGCAATGGTCACCACTTGTATTTGAACACATCATTGCTGTCATTTCAGCCGGCCATCCAAAAAATTCACTGTATGACCGACAGCTGTCAATTTTGAAATCCGTTAGTGTCATGTCTAATTGGCAAATCTTTTACGTGTTTGGTTCATACGCTGGTGTACGTGAGTTCGAATCCCAATATGAATTTCCTTTTTTATTTTTGAAATATTTAAAAAACCTCACGTTAATGTTATTAAATATATGTAATATACGCAAAAATGCTAAATTTTAAAATTAAATGAAAATTTACAACATAATGTTGTTGGTTTTTTATTTTTATCTTCGTAAAGTAAGTTATGTATATTTGCAGTTTTAAATACTTATGAATATTGCATTGTAATTAAATAATAAAATATACTTAGTTGGTTCTGTTTCACTACAATTGATTGCATACTGAAACTATGAGACTCAGATAATAACTTTTGCTTTACTTACTATTAATGTCCTAGCTACAGAGCATCCCAAAGTTCCCGCACCTAACAGCAGACATTTTGTGTTTTTTAATTTGTCAAGATCAACTGTTGGTAAAAGATTCCACTTCATAAGTTTTAGATTTAGATCAACTGAGGTCTCAGCTATTCTAAAAATATTAAAGTTTAGATAAAAGGTATAGTTAAGCCCAGTAAATGGACCTTTACTTATGTGATATGATTTTAATATACGTACACAGATGGATCAAGAGATTTTTTCATGTTTGCTAAACGAGGTCCCATCTTATCTTTTTCATTCTTCTCCCAACCAACCCAAGTCGTGGACATTGTTGGGTCTAACTTTGGCAGTGTGAGTGAGTAGATGGTGCTATGTCGTAAAACTATAGTGCGTTCTCTAGTCAACTTTAAAGCGAGAAAACTAGCTTCTTGGTTTTCTAAAAATGGACTAATAATGTGTGTTAGTTAATTATTGTATGAGTAAAAATATGGACAAGGCATGCCGAAACTGTACATTTTGGTTAAGAGTAAATGAAAACTGACAAAAGTTGTGTTTTAACAAAACTGTTACAAAACGAGAAAACATAATTTAAGTGTCTCTTGGAATAGGATAGATATCTAATGATTATTTTGTTCAGACCAAATTGCCTTTAAAATTCGTTTTATATCAAAACCAGCACCAGCGTGAGAATCGAAACTAAGTGGAACACTCTTAATCGGTGGGGAATTGAATCCGCCAGGTGAAGCGGTACCGGCTTTTTGCCATACGGGGGATTGTTTTGTTTATTCTTTGTGTCTAAACCCAGGTACCTGGGTATCCTTGGTAATTGTTTTATGTAAATCATTGGTGATAGTATAAATATTTTTATTCCAGCTTCTAGTTTTTCCTACAATTATTTAGAACGAGGAGATTTATAATAAAATCTAAAGAAAAAAAATGCATATACACTACTCTAAGAAATTAAGGCACTATTTACAAAAACAAAAAAGCGATTGATTGGTGTTTTAAATTTAATTGTATTCATTTTTGTATGGATTATACCATGTATTTGGAATGTTTTTATCAGGTTACTTGTATTGTTTTTTTGTTTCAACAGGTTTCTAAGCAACACAAAACAAAGGTGCTGTAAAAATGTCGATACATGATACTATGAACTAAAGATCGCACGCGCACGCGATCAGTCTATCTTTTTTGCACGTGCGATATCACTTGGCGACAAATGTCACCAGAAATGTTCTGTTTTGCATGGAGTTTTGTCAATTGTCAGATTTAGTATTGTTTTATCGTTTATCCAGAACGTTGACAAATAAATGTGTGCATTTTTTATATAAATATATTTCAGAATATAAAATTAAAGATAAACTTTATATAAATTGTATTTGAAATAAATTCTTTTCTTTTCTGTGTCGTTATTTCGTTACTGAATTAATAAACAATATTGTCAAACTGTCAGTTTCTGACAAATCAATCAAGGCTAACTCACAATAATTATTAGTAAATGTTAAAATATCTACCAAATTAATACTATGATGGAAAAATAAAAATATCTAGAAAACTGATAACTTTAGCTATAGGGAGTACTTTATAAAATTTGAAGTATGATATTATTACTTTTCGATAGGGATATAAAATACAGGGTGTTCTATTTAAAATTACCAAAAAATAATGAACTTGAATTTTGCCTAATGTACTTGTAATCTGATTTAACGAATATTATGAAAACAAATATGTTTTATAATTTTTAACTATTATTAAAAAACTATGGTTGCAAGAGATCAATGTTCCTATACTTCATTTTAATTATACAGGGAGTTAAACTTGATACGATTTTCAGGTAATATTGGTTATAAATTTTTAAATACCCAGTATACCATAATAAAACTTTACATTGTTGTGATGTGAAAGTGAAGCAGATTTCAAATTTAAAATAAAATATAGAGTGTTTCATTAAAAAAAAAACATGAGTTTGGTCTGCCACCATCTTATGGAACATCCTGTAAGATTGTAACTAATTTTAAAATGTGGAGTCTAAAGCTGCCTACAATTTTTGTCAATAACTTTTTTTTGTAATTTTTACTATAACAGATGTACTGAGCTTCCTCACACTAATCAATCACCCTGTATAGTTTAGTTTTGGATAAACTCAAATTTCTGATAACTTAGTACCTATCAATTCAAAATAGTATTAGAGATATCAAAGTAAATGTTAGTACTTATTATTAACTCACCAAAAATGCAAGAGTAGAAGAACATAATTTCGTAGTTGTGAAGCTACATTACCGGAACAGACATTGTTATTAAATCCAAAGTACACCTGAGATTCTTTTAGTGGTAATGTACTTAGTTTCGATTTCAAAGAATGTACAACTATGTCATCTTTGTTCTTTATAACCAAGAAATATCCCTTTTGTCTTTCATTTAATTGTGTATATTGCCTGTACAGATTATCGACCTAAAAAAACAAATTATATAGACACTACTATGGCACAGTAGTGACAGTGCCGTAGTAGTGACAAGTGAACAGTGTAGTAGTGTCTGGGGGCTCGAGAGACTGAGACCTCGGAAGCCCTGAGGAAGGCATCAGAGAGGATGGCGAAAGCTCGGCAAAATGAATATCGACGCGGTTCAACCCGGAAGACTGGTGAGTTTGATATTAATTTTAGTAATAATATTAATCTTAGCTCTAGGTTTCATATATATATATATATATATATATATATATATATATATATATATTATATATATATATATATATATATATCACAAAAATTTCATAAGGTTTTTATTCATCAGTTTAGAACCACACTCTGGATTTTTGAACAAAAAAAGGCACAATCCAATTATTTCGCTGTATAATATCCAACATAATCCAATCTCTATCCTTTTTTTATCCCACGTGATTCATTTCATTGCACAGGAATTGAAAATAATTATCTTAGGTTTTCAATGAGAATATGTGTTAGAAAAAGCTAGAATAGAGCAAGATTGCTTGTTGATCCCTGTTAAAGTTCAAAGTTGCATAGTTTAGCCTCCCATGTTAAAATGGGCAAAGTGGATACAACAAGATGCCCTTTTTATGAGCATAGAGAGGAAACTACCAAACATAACACCATAAATATTTGAACTATGTCTTTTTAAAACCTGACCAAGTAGAAAACAGGTCTTCACAACTGCTAATAAGCTTTCGTAAAAGCATTTATTGGAGTAAACATAGTTGTAATGTACATACAGAAGATCCTTTTGCTTGCAATTTACAAGGTCAAATGATCCTTTAAATAAAGATTTATAAAGACGAACTACCCCTTTGAAACCGGAATCTACAATATTATATCCACTACACATAAGTAATCTTTTAAAGATAATGGGTAGTTTGACAAAAACTACAGGTTATTCAGGGAATCACACTATCAGATGTACTTATAGAATGTTAGTAAAAAGTAAATCAAAAAATCATCAGTATCAAAAAAGTATCATCAAAAAAAAATTTGCAAGTATTTTTTTTTATGAATATACTGCAAAGTTCAATAAAAATACTATTTTTCAATAAACTAATTGCTCAACTCCAAATTACAGTAGAATCGATTTTACTAAACAGACTACAGGTGATTTTTAAATAAAAAAAGAAGAAAGTAAATATTTACAGTACCTAGATCACTCTCGATTCACCTCTCGACCAAACTTTCAACGTGAACGTACACGTTCCCGCCAAAAGTGAAGACCCAGAATCCACAAAAACTGATCCAATCGTGAAACGTGTCGCGAAGTACGGTAATCAGCGTGAAAAACGGTCGTGAAAACTCGCGAACGGATCCACGGTACCGGTAGTGACACTTTCTGGACGAGAGGATCGCCAGAAAATAAACAAAAGGCGCGAAATTACCACGTGGAGGCGTGTCATGTAAGGCGCCAAAACTGGTAACTAGCACCGAACCGAACGGGCGTGGTACCAACCGGCTAACGGATCTTGCAACTGATACTGAAAAGTAAGGAAGCAAAGGGACGTTGGCATTGGTGCCTGTCTGGAGCTCTTCGCCGCAGAGTTCTCGAAACGATAAAGTGACGAACACCCAGGTAAAGTCTCACACACACACATACACTACACACACACACTTCACACACATATCAATCCCCCCCTTCCACACATACCAATAACCAATCCAAATTCCTTTTCCTACACATATTAAGTTCATCCTCAAAATCCAATCACAATTTCGCACAATTACCAACCCATCCAATTTCCTACACATACTAATTTCCTATAGATACCAATTCCTTTTCCTACAGATACTAAGTTCAACCTCAAAACCAAACACAATTACATACATATACCAATCCCTCCAATTTCCTATACACACTAATTTCCTACAAATACCAATTCCTTTTCCTACAGATACTGAAAACAAAACCATTTGTTCTAAGTACCTTTTCCACATATACCAAAATCCTAGATACCACATATACCAATTTCCTATCCTAATACTCACAGAGAACCCTCACCATGCCACGATCCCGATCCCGCAAGCAACCCGATCCACCTCAACCAGCGACTGCAGACACTGACTGGCAATCTGTATCCGGCTCCCAAATCTCCTCTTCTTCCCACACCTCACATGTCTCAGTCAGCATCGACGGACATGCACCACGGACGCAGCAGGAATGGAAACAGGCTCTGACAGAGATCTGCTCACCAAAATCCTGAGGCGGCCAGCGAACACCTCACCCCCATAGTCCAGAAAGTCAATAACCAAGAGCAACAGCTAAACACACAAACACCAGATACCATAAGAAAAATCCTTCAGAACGCCTTCATGTCTGCAATACCTGGATATATCCCCTCCCCCTCACCTCCAAAACCCTTAACCCCTCCCACCCCCCCTCCCCCCCAACCTGCACCCACACCCATACCTCCCCCCTCTCCTATTCCTCCTCCAAAACCGACCAAACCAGCTCCCAAACCTACCCCCAAAAACACACCCCACACACACAGATATTACATCACACTGATCCCTCAGAAATATTCCAGTCAACGAAAATTATCCAGAACCCTCAAAAACCACAATCTCCTAGGAGACATCCCATTCGAACTGGACACGGAAGCTTCCGAAAACCAGGCCATCCTTTATACAACGGGCCCCCTTCCCAATCTTAAGGAATGGGAGAGGAGCCTAAGATCCATCACCGAAAGTCACATCTCCATATCCAAGCAAATTCCTTCAGAATTCATCGAAACCAAAAACATTACACCCAAAATCCTATCAACACCCAAGAAAACACCAACAAACACACAACCAATACCATACCAACCTACCCCTTCCACATCCAGAACAGATATCCCCTTACAAACCCCTCCAACCCTCCACCTCCCCCCTCAAACCCCCTCACATACACCTGAAATAGCTATACCACACACACCCCCAACACCACACCCCATACACTCACAAACCACCTCGCCTAACCCCCAAACAATCCCTCCCCCCACCCCTCAGCAACCAACACAACACAAAAACTACAGAATAGAGGACATCCCCACCGATATCTGCCAGCAGAGACCGTTTTACCGATTCCTTATCCAGCACAACCTTATCCCTAGTTTAGACTCGCTTAAAGTCTTCCCAGCCCAGAAGGCGGCTTCAGTACGAACTACAAAACTCCTTGACATCGCTCATATCACGGCAAATCTCCGAAAAATCCTCCAAAATGACCAAATCCGAATAATATCCCGTCTACCTAAGACCCAAAATCCCTCACCCAATCCGAATAATTCATCTTCTATATTCCATCTTGTCATAGCCGGCGTAGCAAAAACATTTCCAATAAAACTCATCGAGGATAATTTATCCGAGAACAACTTCCCTTTCACCAAAGTAGTTCGTATCATCGCCCGATCCACTAACCAACCCACCTCCTATATCAGAGTATTCACCAGCTCTGAAACCAAGTTCGCCGAAGCACTCGCGAGTGGTGTCTTGATCGAGGGTGAACGGCTGGCCTGCGAAGTTCCGAGAGCAGGCAACTCCGTTCCCGTTCGATCTAAATACTGCTCGAGATGTTGCAAAAGCGGACATTTCAATACCGAATGCCCTGAGAAATCAATTGTTTGTCCGTATTGCGGACTCAACCACCGGTCTACTGCCTGCCCCACGATATCGACCCCCAAATGCCCTAACTGTAGTGGTCCTCATCCCGCTTTCTCACCACGCTGCCCTCACCGCAACACTCAACCAACAAACTATAGTCAAACCCAACCAGTGTACACAGAGAAACAAATCCCATCCTACGACCTCTCCTCTGATATGAAATCCCTCATTCACTTCTCTTCCATACTCCTTTTCAACGCCTTCCCTGAAAAGAGAAGTGCGATCTCCTACTACCTAAATCAAATTTCCAATGCAATGTATGGATGTGCCATAGCCACCTCATGCACCAACAATTTAGTCAAACAAACCTTCACCCACCTCCACATCTAAACACCACACCACACACACAAACACAAAATCACACACACACTAATTACACTAAACACAACACTTTACCTATCCCAGCTCACAACCCTAATTAATAAATACCTAAACCCTCACCTAACAATATACCTAAAGTCCAAATTAATAAACATACAAAATACACACATACACAACACTACACTGTGAGCATCCAACACACTCCTTAAGAGTCGAATAATATACACAAGGACAGGGGGAGATTGGTTTTCTGTGGTTTCCCAATCTCATTGCACAATGATACCTGATCCTAGGTGAGGTCATAGCCACAGCTATCCTCCACGCGTTTTTCCAACAAACAAACAATGGCCAACAATCTGAAAGGAATCGTTTTCCAAAGAACTTGTACTTCGTGACAGGCTTGGTGGGCCTTACTAATTCTTCCGGAAGACGTACATCCGCCTCCTGCCTTCTTCTTGTTCTCGGCCCCCATCCTATCCTACCCATCACCACCCACTTTGACCTTTCAGCTCTTTAGCGGCGGCGCCCTTAGTCTTCGGAGTCCAACAAAGTCACACGGGCGAAAGCTAGCATTTCAAACCAAACAAGCACCAGCACCCAACAAACAAACCCACCCTTGAAGAAGCATAGAGCTTAAAGCAAGGTTAAAACGCATTGATTGATTGACCTAGATCACTTTTATATTAATAACTAATTCAAAAATAACAAAAAAGTATTACCACACTATCTGAAAATTCACTGGAAATAGGGTAACACTTATTTTTTTTAATACTTATGCCCTTAGGAACTGGAAATGCAAACCAGTAATAATATTGGTACTTCTTAATATCCTAAAAAATAAATAAGGCATTATCAAAAATAGTATCAACTCGTTATTATGTATTTTGAATTTTTTATCAAATCTCCCCCTCCATATTTCTTGTTTTTTAAGATTAATTTTCTCTATTATTCAAGACAAATCAGATTAACTGTAATTAATTGTATATAACATCAATCCTAAATATGATATACAAAGTACCAAGGAACTTACAGCAAAAGTCAATAAAATGAAGCAATTTAGCAAGGAAGGATCTTCAAGCGCTCGCCCATCCTTTATCTTTTCATGCAAATCAGTCCCAACTTCATGTATTAGATGCATTTTATCATAATCTTTAAATCTCTCTATGGTGTTAGTATTTATTAATCTTCCACAGAATCGCAAGTTTATACCAGCAGAATAATTCCTGCAATCAGAAAACTGTCAAAAGGATATTTTTTTAAATTCCTTATCCTACTTACACATTAAAGGAAGTACTATCCACTTCTAAAAAAGTCCATGGGCAATTTAACTGCTTTAGTATATCTGTATATCCAAATAAGTGTTGTTCTATCTCTTTTGATTTGTATACATCCAATTTCATTTCTGTAAGTTTACTCCAGAAACTGGGATTAACTGAAGAAGTTATAGGAATATACTCCACTGTGTTTTCCATTTTTAAATATTACTAACATATGCTTGAGTAAGTATAATTATATTGTTTTAATTTGTAAATGTTGTTAAATGACATTACAAATTAAATATAAGGTTATGTGTTAAATTGATGGACATCAGCTGGGCTGTATGGTACACAGTACACCAATGACGTCAAAGTTGAGTTCTATCACAGCCACCAGTAAAGGTGGCTGTGGTTCTATACATGTCTACCCACAGCCACCTTTACTTGTCTACCCCATCGAGTTAGAATCTAACGCGATGAGTTAGAATCTACTGTACCCTGAAAGATGTATAATATAATAAAATAAAATCATTTATTGCCTAATAATATGTGACATTTCATTTGTATATTAGCCTTCTTTCTTCTTTCGACGTCCCGCTCTTGCACCGTCAGCTTCTGATGATTCCTCCCTCTCGGCATCCTGGACTTCTCTGGGTGGATTTTTGGATTCCTCGTCTTTTTGTGTAGGTACTTTTTACGGCATCGTACCTACTTCCCAGATGTATAATAATCTCAATGACGTATATTATAATAATAATCTACCATACGTCATTGCAGTACTCATACTATATCGTAGTTATATACCGACATTCGACATCGACGATCGACATCGTAGCACAGAATAATAAACAAATGTTTAGCACAGAATAATAAAAAATTCTTTATTATTCTGTGATCGTAGTATCCTACATCACATAGAAATTTTTTTGGCAATTACCATTGATATATTAGCGGATATATTTGGCCAATTAATTTATAATATCCTATACCCTTTCCCGATTGATTACGAGGACATGGCAACAATAGCACATGGCGGTTGAGTTTACCGAAAGCACAGAATTTCTGTGCCTAAAGTACAAGCTGATTATAGCCGTAAATTTCAAAATATTTCAATAACCGCACATGGCTTCACCACAGAATAATAAACAATTATTCTGTGGCTTCACCATTGGCAACACGTTGTTCGGTGCCAACATCTGTGGCAACCAGAGATATGTACAAAAAAAAACTTACATATCACTGGTGGCAACACTACCAAATTCAAATATTTTGTTCCATGATTGACACTTGCGGCTATATTCTGGGTGTATGCTGCCAACATGAAAACATAAAATTAACAGTTGGCGATTTTGGTTATCTATCAGCGATAGTTTATTTTAACCTAAAAGCTATCAAATTCAAAAAGAAACCGGTAAAATATTGCTTTTGCATTTTTTTTTAAATATCTTTGTTGTGTATTCTTGCAATTTGCAATCAGTCATGGATTTTTTAAGATCTGGTCAAATATCTGAAGCTGCGCAAGGGTTTATTATGAAATTTTTAATTGAAGTAGGTACTTTCAAATTGGAAGACAATTGGATGGAATATCAAACTAAAATGGAATTATTTTTCCAAGAAAATTCTGGTTTCGATACAATCCTGAAAACACCACTAATTTTAACAATATTGCCATCTGAATGCAATGGCATTTTAGACAATGTTAGCAATGGCCAACAACTTTGTACTCTTGATCACAAATTTGTACTTGAAGCATTGGACAATTATTTTTATCCAAAAAAGGATGCTGCATACTATCGTGAGAAGTTTCAATTAAACAAACAATACAAAGGCCAATCATTTTTTCGTTATGTCACGATTTTACGAAAGTTGATGGCAGACTGCAATTTCAATAAAAAAAGTAAACACAGCAAATTACGAAACCAGTTAATAGCTGGGGTGCTACCTGAGATTAAAAGTAAAATTAATCAAAATGCTATGTCGCTCTCACAGGTGTTTGAGGTAAGTTTTCAATTACTGTAAGTAAGCTCAAAAATAGATGTGGCATAAGTAATATAAAAGTCTAAATAACAAAAATGTAAATTCCAGTCATACACACTACTGGTATTTTATTTATTTATCGTATGGCAATTACAACACATTTAGAACAAAATTACAAACACTAGTAATATAGGTATATGACAAACTTTAAATACCTAGTTACAAACAAACATCAAGTGTATTAACATAATCAATTGACTCTGAAGTTGCAAACAGGAAGTCTTCAGGGCTACCGTTGTAGGATCTTGAGGGACACTCTTCAATAATGTGGTCGATTGTTTGGTTCTTCCCACAGTCACATTGAGGAGACAGATTCTTTCCCCATTTATGTAGCATGTATGCACATCTGCCATGTCTGGTTCAGATCCTGTTTAGAGTGGACCATGTTTTACATGGAAGATCAAATCCTGGTGGCTTGTGGGTAATACAGGGCATACAGGGACTACTGGTTGTTTGGGTCAACTATTTGTAACAATAGTAAAGCTGACTTTACTTGGTAACAAGGTTTTTTTTTCAATACTTTTATTTACATGTGTGTTTCATAAAAATTCGATTTGTTCACATTGTAGAAAGAAAGGTCAAACATAAATAATTACCAAAAACTTTAAAACAATGGTACAATCTTAGGAAATAATGATAATGCTAATTCTTTAAATAATTATTTAAATAGTGATAGAGACAAAGCTTGCTTGTTTAATATTTCCTATAGAAACATATTTAATTAGACAATTTTATACTAAAATGTTTTAGTTGTTCATAAACCAGTTATATTCCAGATTGACTTGATTGATTCCAGAAAATCTTAGCCCTCTGAAGATTTTTCATTTATATGGTAACTCCACATTGCACTCCATCAGTACTAACATTTAGACGAAATTTAAGAACTAGATTTTCTATCTGTTGGCCTGAAGTTAGTATCTAATCTGATAGATTTTCTATCTAAAGGAATATGATAAGCTGATATACTTAATATCACAAATTTTTTTGAAATTATATATTTATTTTATTAAATTAGTGGTGAATTTGACCATTACTTGATGGAAGTTGATTTTACAATACTGAATACACTGAAAATTTCTGTTTGCAACACTTCCACAAAATTTATTATAATGTATTATTACTATATCTGTTTCAGCAGAGTGCAAGTAACTTGAAGCATTGAAAAAGGCATTCTGCTGTTGAATCAGCTGAAGTGATAATAATAAATTTTGTGCAATTTTTTCAGTGTCTTGGTGTTAGATTTATTATATTTACTTATTTTAGTAAAATAGCTTTAGAATGAGTAATGATGATAGCGAGGTTTCTGATTTGGAATATGCTAATTTCAGTTTAAAGCGGATCTGATGAAAGTGAAGCTGGTTATATTGAATCGGATGATAGAAGTGATGATGAAACCAATTTGTAATTGACTGATCTTTCCATTTACTAGGACTTCACAAAGTAATTTTGCGATACCTGATGATGCAGATACAATCTTGAAATATTATCAATTATTTATTGATGATTTTATTATAAATTTAATTGTTATTGAAAGTAACCAATTTGCTGAACAATAGGCAGGGTCATCAGCAAGAAGTTGGAAGCCAATAATAACTGTGGAAATGCAAGTGTACCTTGCAACGAAAATTATACAAGGCATTATGAAAAAACCAGAAGAAAACATGTACTGGTCAAAATCAGAAGTGTTTTAGACACATGTGTTTCCCAAACTGCGGGTTTCCCAAACTACGGGTTTACCAAACTGTGGGTTTCCCAAACAATAAGATTATCTAAGGTATTGTAATATTCATCCACACACTCCAAACTGAATAAGATCTGGCCTGTTTGACAATCCAAATAAAAAGTTTAGTTGTCTATATACCTCTGAGTGTGATGTCACTATTGAGCAAAGTTTGATGATGTACAAAGATTGTCTAGGCTGGGTTCAATACATTCCATTGAAAAGAGCTAGATTGGGTATGCAATTATACCTATTATGTGAATCTAAATCTGGTTATTGTTATTCTTATATTGTAAACACAGCAAAGGGCACTCTCATGAGCAATACATCTAATTATTGGCCTATGTCTTCCCAAATAGTTCTATATATTTGATGGGACTGTTATGGAACAGGGGATATGTCTTACAACTGATGATTTTTATACATCACCCAAACCCGTGGATTTTTTGATTTAACACAAGTAACACTTATGGAATGCTGCGACTGAATTGACAAGAAGTACCTTAAGAACTTCAGAAGAAAAAAAAACTGAAGAATGGCGAAACTATGGTTTAGCCTTTCTATGGTACTTAAATGGAAGGACAAAAAAGATGTCTGTTTGCTTTCTACAGCCCATAGCCCAGAAATGAAGGAGACAATTGAAGACAGAGAAGAAAATCCAGTAAAAAAGCCCAAATTAGTTATTGCCTACAATGATACAATGGATGGTGTTGATAGTCTAGACTTCTAAATTAACATCTCCATGAATATGCTTGTGCTAGAAGGAGGAAAAATTTCCACTACACTACGAAAAAATAAAGAACTAGTGATCAAGCTGGACGGTTTAGACTGACAGAGCTCCATTTTCCAGAATATGTACCACCTACGAAAAAAAGGCGCCATATAGGATATGCGCTATTTGCTACTGTAAATGGGATGAAAAAGGAAAGAAAATAAGGAAGGAAACAAGGTATTACTGCAGAAATTGTATTGTAGGACTATGTGCTCTACCTTGTTTTATGATTTACCACACAATATTGAATTTTTCAAATAAACGTTTCTGATTTTTTTTATTTATGCCCTTACTACAATTCTACGCCCCTAATACTAAATTAAAAATACCAAAAAAAACATATATTTTTTTAATACACCCCTGTCACGAAAAATACAATTATTACGCCCCTTAAAATCATTTTCTGTCTTCAAATCTTTTTTTTTAACTTATTTTACATGCATAATCTAATTATGAAACAAAAAAAAATCACTAAGTATTTTATAGTGAACAGTGCTTAAATTCTATTTTTTCCAATTTACAGGTTGGATTAGCTTGGGATGAAGAAAATAATAAATCGCAATCTAAATTTTTGAAGAAACAACCCAAATGTTTTAGATGCGCCCAAGCTAAATATTTACACCGAGCTGATCCTTGTTTCTTTGAGTGGTCTATTTGTGGTGGTTGTGGAGTAAAAGGTCACGTCACTTTAAGTTGTAAGTACAAAAGGAAGAATTGTGATAAGTGTAATGAACAAGGACATGTTAAAAAGTTATGTAAAAAAACTAATGAAGATATAGCTGCAGCAGCAGTTGATGCTATTAAAATAGAATAATTATTATTCTGACTGTTTGCTGCAACTCTGCGCAATTGTGATGACTCCTGTTATAATTATTAAGTAATAGATGTGGGTGACCACATACTCCAAATTTTTTACTAATATTATTTTAATACTTTAATAATATCGCTTTTTTAATACTGCAACTATTTTTTGTTAGTTGCCAAAAGTATTTAGATCTTATAAAACCATAACATTCTCATACAAATGTAAACAAAAACAATTGAGATTGTTTCACCATCAGGTGTTTGAAATCAAACACATTTCATTTATTAATTATCCTTTGGTACATTTTTCCAATCTGCATCTCTTTTCAAGTTTAGAAGTAGCTTGACGCCAGTCACCAATACTTTTATAACTCATATAAACAATAGGTTGAATATTTAAATACATTTTTTGGACTAGATGCTCCACTACCAGGGCTTTCTCGAGAATTACACCTATTCAACAGATATATGTTTACTAGGTTTTTCATATGCTGCTTCTTGTTTGTGCCTTTTGCTTAGCAACATGTTGGCGGTGCTCTCTACTCTTTAAACCATCTCCTTCACCAGTTCCGTGACTGATTACACCCTACTTCCTAATTCTCTCTCTAAGTAGGCTCCTCTTGGCTTCCATCTATAGCATAGCAATAGAGTGTGTGTGAGACAGTGTTCGATATTTCACAGTACAAGCATTTCTCATTTTCTGCCTTTCCAAATCTGTAAAGGTATGCCCTAAGACAACGATGCCCTCTGAGCATCTGCGTCAGGAAGTAATCCAAACGAAATGGACATTACTCCATTCCTCTTACCACGTCATAACGGACCTCTCCCTTTCTTCTTTTTTAAACAATCTGTTGCTATGTCTTCAGTTCTTCTCTGGTATACTCTTCCTCTTTCCTTCACCAGCACGTGCATCGGAATACAGCGTCTCAGCAGAGACTGTTCTGTATGCACATACCACCCCTAACAGACTCTTTCCATCTGTACGCCTTTCGTAAAACTACAGTATCCCAGACAAGCGTCGCGTAGAGAATGATCGATTGCACAACAGAATGAAGGGCCCTACAATTTTGGGCATGATCCCCCAACGTGGCGGATCTCACTGCAGCTCTTTGAGTCACCTCCTTTACGTGCTACCCCACTCTCCGTTTTGACTCAGAGTCACTCCTAAATATCTCACGCACTCCTTTGAAATCACTCTCTTTCCTGCACATTCGAATGTTGTCCCGTCCCTTTTCCTTATTCCCTTGAGAACTATAGCTTCGGTCTTACTTGCAGCCACTTCTAGACCATACATTTTCATACATTTCTCGACTTGGTCACATGTATGCTGCGCACCGAGGATAAGGTCCTTTCTGTTCTACGCCACTACCAGCATAGGAGTCCAAGGACCGACCCCTGCGGCACTCCAGCCATCCATACCCTAATCTAATTGTGCACACCTTTATCTAGTTGAACTTTAGGATGTGCCAATACTTTTTATGAAATTGATTAGCTTCCTGGGTGACTTGTTTCCCATGTAGAAGGTCAGTGACCACTTTGATATCTTTTTACTCGTTTGAAGAAGGCGACTTGTTGCAGTAGGCGACACTTTTATGAGCCTTTTTGCTTGCTTTGGTCCCGATGTGTGTGATAGTTGAGTTCCCAGGTCCGGAGTTCCTCTCTGATGTGGCTTTTTGGTAGTCCACCGAAGGGCTCTGGACATGGAATAGGGTATTAGCCCCTTCTTTTGCGAGGCTGTCTTCCTCATTTTCTGCAATTCTCCTGTGACCTGCCACCCACATCAATGTTACTTTGTTGCGTTCCGTTGGCTTCTTGAGGGATTGTTTACAGTCCCAAACTAACTTTGTCCCACAAATTAATGACTTTAGAACCTTTAAAGATTGGTGTCACAGTACAATGTTCGTTGCAGTCCTTTGTATTAGAATTTTTTGGAAATGATATAAATTTTCCTTAAGAAAAATACCATAAGAAAAATCACACGCAAATATTTTATTTAACAAAATAGAAACATGGTTAGTAAAATAAGAATAAATTGGATACTCGTCTTTGTTTTAAAAAATGATTACTTTGGTAATGCTTTATATATATTTATTTTTTTTTTGTGGGAAGAAGGAATGTTGTTACCTAGTTATCTATTATTTAATAATCCTTTTTTATATAGTGTTAAGAAACGCGAACATTCGTGAAAATGTTAACCTTTGTCTGATGGCATACCATTACTTTTGTAATTAAGTCTAAATATATCGCACAAATCTTGTTGCTTTTGTGTGCTATATTTTCTAAGCCATGAAGTGTTGAACATCTTAGGCCAAAATTGCAAATTTGTTTTAGTTGTTTGGTATGGTATATAATCAGTTTTGTAACGTCACTTTTCAAGGGTGACTAATATTCTTGTTACCATTTTATATTTAATTATAATGATAATTTAGTTTTACTCTAACTTTAAATTTTTTCGAAGACTGTTAAATTTTAGCAAAAAGAATAATGTTATGCGATACATAACCTCAAATAAAAGATATAGGCAGTGTTAGTTGAGTTTTCGTTATATAATTTTGGCAACGTACAAGTTAATGTTTTTTTCACTTATATTTTAAGTTACTTTAAAATTAACACATTGCCTGCCATAGAGGATTTTGTAATACTTTCGAAAAATAAAGATTTTTGGATATAAATAAATTTGTCTCGTTTTTTCTCTTCCGTTTTTTTTAATAGTGCATGCTTTATTAGAAATGAGTGAAGTGACTGTAATCTTATGGACAGGTGAAAAAACATCTTATCTTCCGTCATTGATCAACTACCCAAGCTCTAACGTCACAATGAGCGGGAATAGTAAAAACCTTTCAAACATTTCTAATTTGTGTCTATTTGTCCTGTGAGAAGTTAGAAATATTGGTTTTTTAATTGTTTGAAGAATAAATATTATGGAATTTTGGTTATGAACATTCATTCTGAGCGATTGGTATTACATATTTTGTTGTTCGCAAATTTGTGAAGTAAGAATATCAAAGTATTACGATCATGGACGTATAAACATAGATGGACACAGCAATAAGATACCTTTAACACACAATGTTTTGAAGCTTCGATAGAATGTGATGCTTCCGCAATGAGTATAAGCGTGCTTGAATTTTTACTCGCGGGTAATTATTCAGATTTTAAAAATTGGAAGTACCTAGTAATATTGTATAAAAACACGTTCAAAGAATTAAAAAAAAAACGAGAATTTAACTATTAACAAATCACGTCTTTATAGAAAAATTAAACTACAATTTTATTATATCTTATTGAATACATTAATGAACATGAATAAACCCAATGGTACGCCTATTAAAATGTAAACAAACACGCTTTTTCATTTCCTCATCCTAAATAATGTAAATTTTACGTACTTACAAATGAAATGAAAGACCGGGATGTAAATATTTCGTTTATTTTATTTCACTTTTCACAAATATCACTCAAAATACAGCCAAAATTATCTAAAAACAATTTTTCCTTATTTCCTCAATCGTTGTAAACAAACATGGAATAGCATTTGAAGTTTGACGTAGAACCGTAAAACAGAGAAATGTAAACAACCGTTGCCATTTATAAATAGTTTTCAGTGCTTCTAAATATAAAATAATTTATTGATATCTATTATACGCTATTATTAAATGATAATGCACACTATGTGCACACTTGATATTTTGATTACAATTAGATATATTAATATAACCAACAAATTATTATTTTGGTTTGATAGCACCTGTAGAGTATAAAATACGGAGTAATATTTTCAGCGACTCGCGAATAAGAATTTTTAATAAAAAAACGTGACAACAGTTGGAGGTGCTGAGAATGTGACATATTCAAATAATTTTGACTTCACAATTTTATGTAAATAACTGAGTCCATCTGTGTTTATACGTCCATGATTACGATATTTACCTACTATGAGGGTTCATAATTTAAGGTTATGTCATTGTTTGATTAAAACTTTAATTATTTTTTACTGTATTTCAAGGTATTTTGTTATTTCAAGGGTTGTTTCAAAATTAATCAATAAATCATTGAATTTATTTACGAAGTTACAAAATATTTAAATTGATGTTTTATTATTTTAAATTAATGTTTTTTATTAAAAAATTTTAATTGCTAGTGATTTTATACCCTAAAAGACTAAATATATTCGTTTTCTCATAATTTAAATAGTTAATAGTAGTTTTGTTGTCATTACTGAAAAATTCAGTAATACTGGATATCTTAAACACAAGTTTACTAGCCATTATATGCTCAGGTCTAATTATTACACTCAAAACACTCAAAAAACCTTTTTTAAACTCTTATGATGGAAGTTTGATAGACAGGTTTCCACAGAATGTTATTTTACAACTTCCACTACGAGAAAACGAAAATCTTTAGTTTTTTATAGGATAAAATCACCGTCAACGAAAAAAGAATTAAACATTAATTCAAATATTTTTCAACTTCATAAATAAATTCACTGCTATATTGATCTATTTTGAAATAACCCTGATAAAATCAACAATTTTTTTGTTTATATGTTCATATTATGAATAAAACAATTTTATTCATAATTCAATATTAAGTATTAAAAAGGACGACAATAAATGCTCCAACTCTTTTACTCCTACTACAATGTAATGCACTAGTTTGACTCTGTCTTGCTTTAAGAACGCATTGCAGATAATTAAATGTTTTCAATAATATTGGATTTTATAGTTTAGATCGTAGATTGACGTCACCAAATGTGTGAGTCAGAGTCATGAAATTTTCATGAAATTTTGTAAGACTAATGAAGGTATTTGCACTGCAACGTGTTGAAAAATAAGTTATCATTAATTATAGTATATTTTATTTTATACATTTATTATACTTAGGTACAATTTTAACTGAAAATATAAATAGATAAAATAATAATAATTAATAAACTCATAATATACAAGTTCACTATAAATGTACGAGTACAGTGATCTGCGATTAAAGACCCTTAGGCATATAGACACCCATGGTTTTAAAAATACAGCAAATCAAACTTTCTGCAGCATAAAATATTAAAATTATATGCGTACGTTTGTATATACTCATATTATACATACAGCTGGACAAAAGACTCTGACCCTTCAAATTATTAATTAGTTACTGCTTTTAGCAGCATCTCTTAACTCCATTTAGGAGTTCCTCCTAGAATTTGTAAATTTGTCTTATCGAATTATTATTTAATTACAGAAATATATATTAATTTATAAAGTTCTTAACTTATACCTGATAAGCTTATAAATTTAAGAGATACTATGCGTGATGGATTAAGATGCTTTTTTAAACAACCGTTTTTTTAAACAAGAAATGAAAAGTTTATGAACTTTTTTTGAAAATCTTTTGTTAAACACCCTGCCCTGCATTAGGAGTTGAAGAATTCTCTATCTTTCTTCTCCGTATTATAACGAAGAGGTAATTGACGAAAGAAACACATATGTTGCAGATATTCTATAATCATATTATTCGACGGCATAAAGAAGTTGGAAAATCGCTAGAATCATTGTATTAAGATAAAAGTAGACTATGTCTGGCTATCTAGCTGGCATATCTCTCTCTCTCTCTCTCTCTCTCTCTCTCTCTCTCTCTCTCTCTCTCTCTCTCTCTCACTCAAATTCGACTAATTGTGAGTAATGACAAAGAAGCGCCAGAGTTCTTTTGTCAACTGTGTAGTTAGGATTTAAATTGGTGATCTTATAGTGACTTACTTTTGATTAAGGGGACTATATCTCAGGTATGTATTGAGAAAGAAAAAATAATATTTCTATCTTCTTATGCATCACATAGCATTAAGACCTCGTCAGCACTAACATTTTTAGTGATAACTATGACTAATCTATATCATATTTTCAATAAATCTTTTTGAATGTGTTACGATTAAAGACATACTAAAATATTACATTTTTAGGGTCTTTCTTGGTTCATTTCCTTAAAAATATTTTCTAGTTATATTTCATAAACTTGTTCAAATTATTCCAGCTACAAGAATAATCGATTTTGAGGTGGCCGTTTTTGCTGAAGCTGAAATTTTGGGGTTTGTTCCTACTTTGCCTGCTGACGTCATCGTATATCGGAAGGGTTGAGTCTCTTCTATCTCTGTGAAAATCTTCGAATGTACTAGGTGGGTCTCCTTCTGGACTCTGTCGATTATAGCTGTAACAAAAATAGGGAATATGTATAATTAGTTAATTAATAATTAGAATAGGGAATAGTTTAATTAATAAAGTTTAATTTTTACGAAAAGTACAGAAAAGTGCATGGAAGAATTTAAAAAAATTAGATGTAGAGCAATCGATAAATAACTTTATTTGAGTAGGGTGTGCAAATTATATATTTTGAGTTGAAACTTTAACAACATCATAACATAAAACACAGTTTTCAAAATTTAAGAGCATTTAAATTAAAAATGGTTCATGAACTTCTGGAGAAGAGCAGCAGGCGAATCAAGAAGAGATCGGATACCAAATGAGAGAATAAGAGAAATGATGGGAGTCAAGCGTACAATAGTTGATGACATAAAAACAAAACAGTTAATATGGTACGGCCATGTACAGAGAATTTCATGTACAGAGATTCCGAAACAGATTTTGACGTGGAAACCACAAAGGAGAAGGAAAAGAGGAAGGCCGAGAAGAAGCTGGAGAGAAGGAATTGAAAAAGAACTAGAGGAAAGAGAAATCCCTCCAGGCCTATGGTTAAATAGAGAAGAATGGCGGTTAGGAGTAGGAAGGCGTCGGAGAACGCTGTAAACCGATAGTAGTAGTATCTATGAATTCTAGGATAAAAGTCACTTACTCTATATAAGAATCTCCATAGGAGTAACTCAAACTTCGATCCCTAGATTTGTAGGCTATTGGCACCGCAACTCTTCTGAATATCCCTTTATCGTCATAGATTCCAAACAAGGAACTTTCTTGAACAGCTCCTTCAGCGTAAGGACTGACTTCTTCAGCTTCTGTAACAATACATATAAATTAACCCTTAAATACTGACGTGGATGTTTCAGGATGTAGACACTGACATGCGGTATATCATACCGCTGCTTATGCAATTTATTATATGACTTTGTCTCATATTATTGTATTTGTTTTTTACATCAACTACATAATGATTGTTCACATTCCTGTAGAATAAAATACTGCTCCAAATAAAATAAATATTTTTTTAAGAAAATTATGAATGCATGCATAATATTAAAAAAAATGGTAGACGTTATTATATCTTTTATGAATTGAATTACAAAAAAAAATGAGTAGGTATTGGTAACTAAAAATTGCTAAAATAATGTTGACGCACATACTTATAATATGAATAAACAAAAAATAAAATACAAAATACTGACAATAACTAAAAATTAGAATAAAATAACTCATTTTGGTGATTCAAGGGATGCGCAACATATAACCTCTCCTATCCAAATGTCAACCTCACCTGCACGCGTGATGATCTTGTATGTTCATCCGGTGCATCCTGCTAGATAACAAACGAGGCTCTGACGTCCGAGTGATTGCCGGTATAAGCGATCCCCCACGTATGAACCTAGAACTAGGCCAACGGCGTAAGGATATAGAAAGCAAGGAGAAACTACTACATTAAAGATCCATATGGATATCTTTCCGTATGGATATCTTTTATGGATTAAAAATTTTTCTCAAGCCTTTCCTTAAAATCTGTTTCTTTTTGGCGTTATCAATTCTTTCGGGATTCTGGAATTTTCGAGTTTTCTTTGAAGATGTGGTAAAACTAATTAGCTGTGGTAAATCGAAAAATAAACAGCCTTCCCTAAATCTCAAAGTCGATTCTTCACAACCAGACACAGTACTTATAAGGAAGTTATCTTCGTTGAATAAACCCATTCAAATAATAAAAATTGCATTTGTCGGTAATTTTTTTAAAGTCTGTGATTATCATTCTTTTAGATTCTCTATTAAGGTAAAAAAACTTACTAATTGATAATGTAATGAGGGAAAGCACAAGAAAATTGTTATAACCTCTTCCATTCGGAGCATTAAATGTCGTTGGCAATTGTCAACGAACTGGGTAATCTTTGAACCTGCGGCTATTTCTAAATATATCACTAGTGAAAGTAACGACACAAGAAAATGCAAGTACTAATAAGTAACCCATGTAGGTACCATCACATTAGGTATATTATATTTCAATATCTCTTTGTGTAATGAATATATGAATAATAAAATATTATTTGTATAAATATGAAATATTTCTACAAATTTTAAATCAAATTAATATCTTATTTTATCGAGATTCATTTTTTGAATTAGGAATGTACATATAGTTCAGACTTAAAGTAGATATAGAATTTTTCATATAAAAATGATTGCACGTCATTCAAGTTTTACGACGTCAGAACACTACAGCGTTGCCAAAATATCAATCAGAATAGTTGGTAAGTGAGGAATTTTTAAAATGTTAACCATTTGTCAAACTACATATTATATTAACAGTAAATACACTGAGCCACCCCAGACGACAATATAAAAAAGTCGAAATTATTGCAGACTAAGTATTCTAACCAAATTTCTCAATTGATAACATTTAGAATTAAGTTTTTTACATACATTCCAACAAAAAGTCTTAAAAGATAAATGAGAGTCCAAAGTCACTCCTAAAAACTACAATTCAAATTACCCTCACCTTTGATGGAACTACTTAGATCAGATTTCGTAGAATTTTCACGGGATGTAAATGATACAAATTTGGTTTTGTGAACATTGAACAGGAGCGACTGATTACTGGACCAACCAGAGGACCAAATAAGGTCTTAAGTGAGTTTGTTATTTTATCTTATAAAAAATTTTTGTCTTTATCGCGATATAGCATTGTTGAGTCATCGGCATAAACTGATACAAATGCATCAGACATTACATATGGTTGTTCATTAATATACAAAATAAATAATATGGGCCCAATATGGAGCCCTGTGGTACTCCATTCTTATTAACAATCGGACCAGACATTGAAATTTTGAAGTAGTTTTTTATTCTAACTATTTGGTGACAGTCTTTCAGATAGAAACCAAACCAACTATGGACAACTCCCCTAACACCATATCTGTACAATCTATCGAGGAGTACATCGTGTTGCACACAATCAAAAGCACGACTGAGGTCACAAAAAATAGCAGTTTTTCACAGTTTTAATTGAGATTAAAACTTCCTCATAGAAACTGTTAATAACTGTGGAAGTAGAAAATTTATTTCAAAATGATAGAAGATTTTAGCATACCTACTGGGAAAAACACCAGTATTCAAAGAGGCATTTATAATGTGAGCAAGTGGTGTCAAAATCTGAGAGCCCTTTATGATTATTTTGTTGATTCCAGTTTTTTTTATCGCTCCGTCCAGTGCTATGTTAAAAAGTATCGTCGACAGGCTGCCTCCTTGTCGTACCCTGGTTCTATATTGATAGTTTCTGTATTTCCCTTGTCTTTTATAGTTTCTGCTACAAAGTTGTACATTGCCGTTTTCGCTAATTTTTTTTTTCAAAAAAAGGCTAAGCTATTCAAATAACATGATTTATTAGTACACATAAAAATCAGATTACTACGATGTTATATCTTTCCTATACTATTGTACGGAGGTGAGTCGTGGACTCTTACAGACGCTACCTGCAAGAAAATTAAGGCTTTTGAAGTGTGGCTTTATCGTAGAATTCTAAAGATATCCTATACCGACCAAGTTACTAACCAAGACGTTTTATTAAGGATGAAAAAAGGAGGAAGAGTTGTTAACCAAAATAAAATAATTCATTATACAAGGAAGGGAAACATACATTTCCGGAGGGAAAAATAAAAATAAAAATAGATCATTAATAAAACATATTGCTACGTGGAATGTTAGAACTTTATATCAATCAGGAAAGCTAAAAAATGTACAACTCGAAATGAAACGTCTGGACCTGCAAGTCCTTGGAATTAGCGAAGCTAGATGGACCGGATCGGGAACTGTAAAAAGTGGAGGTTATATTACTTATTACTCCGGAAAAACGGATGATGTTTATGAAAATGGTGTTGCTATAATTCTTGTGGAACGACTTGAAAACCTGGTTGACAAATTTGTTCCTCTTTCAGAGCAAATAATAATGATAACTATTAAAAGTAAGATTAATATAAACTTAATACAAGTATACGCTCCTACAAGTAACAGTACAGACAACGAAATTAATGAATTTTACCATGTATTAAAGCAAGCACTAAATAACACAAAAAAACACGAAATTTGTGTAATAATGGGAGACTTCAACGCTAAAGTAGGAGAAGACATAACTCCCGGAATTACTGGAGGATTCGGCCTTGGTCAAAGAAACGAAAGAGGTGATAGATTGGTGGAGTTCTGCCAAGAGGAAAACTTTGTTATCACCAACACATGTTTTAAACAACCAAAAAGACGTCTCTATACATGGATATCACCGAGAGATGGCCATGGCAGTGTAATGCGTAACCAAATAGATTATATCATGATTAACAATAGATTTCGAAACTCATGTAAATGTACTCATGTAAAAGACATATCCAAGTGTCGACGCAGCCACCGATCACAATTTACTGGCATCTAGAATCAACCTAAAATTAAAGACAATCAAAAAGCCTTCCATTACAAAGAAATACGATAGACAAAAACTAAAAGAAGAAGAATTTAAACATCACTTTGAACAGACAATGAACGAAAAAATTCGAGACAACATCACACAAGTATACAATGTATCAACAGTCGAAGAAAGATGGAATAACATAAAGAATGGTATCATCGATACAGTGACAGTTCCAAAAAGCAAGCGTGGATGACAGATGAAATAATCGAAATGATGGACGAAAGAAGATAGCTTAAAAATAGAAATAACTCAGAGTATAAAAGAAAGCATAATCTGATTCGAAGAAAAATCAGGGAAGCCAAAGAGTTATGGATGCGAGCAAAATGTGAGGAACTAGAAGAATTGCAACGAAAACATGACGAATTTAACACACATAAGAAAATAAAAGAAGTTACAGTACACAAAAGAAATACACCCATAACATTAACGAATAATGAAGGTCATGCACTATCCCTAGAAGACGAAGTAATGGAGGAATGGGAAAACTACTAAAGCATTATTTAAGGATGATCGAGGATCACTACCTAACTTAAGTGCAAATACAAGACCATCAATCTTAAAAGCTGAAGTGGAAAAAGCCATACACCAAGCCAAAAACAACAAAGCCAGTGGACTAGATCAAATATACAGCGAATGGCTAAAATTACTCTCAAATGACAATATAAAAGAACTCACTGTACTTTTCAATCAAATATAATGATACCAGTGAAATTCCATCGGACTGGTTAAAATCGATCTTTATTTCTCTACCTAAGAAACCAAACGTTAAGAAATGTAGCGATTGTAGACTCATTAGTTTAATGAGCCATGCAGTTAAAATACTGTTGCATATTCTTCTAAACCGAATTAACAACAAGTGCGAAGAAATAATTAGTCAAGAGCATTTCAGGTTCCGGAGATGCCTTGGAACTAGAGAAGCACTATTTTCTATGCAAACACTCCTTCAACGATGTTGGTAGGTAAGAAAACCCGTATATATGTGCTTCATTGATTTTGAAAAGGCATTTGACCGCGTTCAGCATACCAGACTAATTACCGCCTTACAGAGCATCCAACTATAGTTTATTTTTATGAAAGAGAGAGTAATTAGCATAATTTTAACTGGTACCTTCGACCACTCCATGGGCGTGCTCAAGATTAATTGAAAAATTACTTTGAATAATTGTAAAAACTAAATGAATTATTTCAGTATTATAAAGTGTTATGTGTATGTAAACAAAAGTGACCTCTTTTATCACACACTATATTAGAACTGACTGGCCTACATTAAAATGGTTTTAAAAAATTCACATTTTTTTTAATTTTTAAAAATTACAAAAGAGAAAAAGAGTTTTTAAAACCGTC